AAGGGAGGTAGTAAAGAGCAGACGCTGCGCAATATAGCTTCGACCGCTAAGAACGTGGATTTCCACGTGGACGGTGATTCGGAGGAAGCGAGGGATTTGATTGAGAAGCTTTTGGTTAAGGATCCGAGGAAAAGGCTAGGATGCGCCAGGGGTGCGCAGGATATCAAACGTCATGCGTTTTTCGATGGGATTAAGTGGCCGTTGATTAGGCATTACAAGCCACCGGAGGAAGTTAGAGGTCTTGTGATCAAGAAGTCGACGAGAGCACATGCTGGTCACGTGACCGCCGTTTCACCGCGACGGAGGAAGTCGTTTCTGTGGCGGGCATTGTCGTACTTACTGCGCGGTAAAATTTCTAATGGTGGAAGTAAAAATCAGAGCAACAGTAATTATTATCATTATGTAGGCAAAAGCTACGCGAGTCGCAAACGCGTTTAAGGCTGGCTCACGCTATTTTCTTCTTCAATTTTTTTATACGACTTTAGAGGTAAAAACAACACAAACATAGTGTGTATATGTCATATGTGTGTATTAGTGTATGTATACAATAGGATGTTCAACGATTTTGTATATGGAAAACCTATACCAGAATAAATATTTTGTCATATCTTCGTTACATGAATGCACTAGTAACGTTTCAGCAATTTCCGAGCCCGAATAAATCTTAAAAAGTCCAAATAAAGCATATATTACAAGTTTTAGTAATGTAATGTAATGTAATGACGGCACTAACATAAATAACTAGGTTATTTTGCCAACTACTTTTCTTTTTTCTAGATAGTTTACACTCTCCTAATGTTTTAAGATTTTTTTATTAATTTTCATATGTCAAGCTAAGTAGCTAGCTAACTTATCTCCGAGTTAATAGGAAATATATAAAATGTAGGGATTAATGAATGGAAACATGTAACTTCGTTTTTTTCAATTGGAAAATAGAAAAATACACAACTTTTAAAAACACATCAAGTTGATTGACAAGCACGTTAAAATATAAAACCTGGTTTCTACGTAGATGCAATTGGGTTTAAGACCCATCATAACTCAAAAATGGACTGGAGTTAAATATTGGGCCTTACCGTTACGACGATTCAATCTCGTTGCAATTGACTAGGAGGGATACTAGTGGCCAAATATTTAGGAATCAAGATCATAAAAATTATGATTCTGGTGGGGGCATAACTAGAATCTTAATATTAAAGTCTTAATATTTTAATATGCATAGCATAACTGATGACGATATGAATGTGATCCAAATCTGTTGTGATCCAGAATGTGACGCCGTGACGTAGCACTGATTAGAAAAAAATGAGGAAGAGAAGAAGAGGTATGATTTTGTTCTACCAGCTGTAAAACCGCAACGAATGATAAGGGAAACGGGAACAGTCGCAATCTCGCTTACAGATTTTTGTTTTGCTTAACTACATAATGACAAATTGATAATGGTTAAAGATAATGTTTTTAAACCCAATTTGATATGGTTGGTCCGACCATAATCTAGAAAATATCATAGTTTAGTTTTTGATACCGGTTTGCAACTTATATAAATTGATATATACTTCAAAAAAAGTTAAAAGTTTACTTACCAGGAAACAAAATTTATTTATAAATTTAAATTTTTTTTCGGTTGCTTTTTTTTTCTCTAAAAAGAATCAATTAAACATAATTTTTTTTATTTTTATTACAACTAGGTATTTACCAGTGCTACGCTGCGAGATATTTTTCTAATTTTTGTATATATTTTTAATATAATAAAATTATTTTTTATTATATAAATGAGTATTATATTTATTTTGTTATTAGCTTAAGTTATGTATTTATATGTTTTAAATCTGAATAAACATTGTATATCTTTCATCTTTTATTTTTCAAAATTATAATTTGCTATCAAATTTGTTTAGCTAACTAACTATAACTGTATATGTAAAAATAAAAGCAATATATATTATAAGTACTTTCATACTAATGACAAATGTAATCTATTTTCTCTCCTAAATTGCCACATGATTATCCTTTGAAATTATATAAAGCAAATGTCATTTTTTATTAATTAATATGATTATTTTGAATTACAAAATTTATTTATTTATCAAATATTTATTATAAACATATGTTTCTAAAACTATCAAACTATAATTAATAACATTTATATCAAAACCACCGCTATTGTTTTAGAACTAAATCGAAAATTATGTTTGAACTGATGAAATATCGATTTAGTCGAAGTTAAATAATTAAATTTGATTACTGTAAACATATTGTAACTTAGCATAATTTCCCATGAAATTTTATTTTCTTACAAAAACCAAGAAATCACATTTTCCATCAAAACAAAAATTTTATTTTCCCATGAAAATTGAAAAATTGCATATTCCCGTAAAAACTTAAAATTTCATTTTTTCACCAAAACAAAAGAATTGTACTTTCCCGCAAAAACCAAGAAATCACATTTTTTCGCGAAAACCTGCGTTTTCTCACCAAAACCGAAAAATCACATTTTTCACTAAAACAAAAAGATTCATCTTCGTGCAAAACCCGAAAAATCGTATTTTTCGGTAGAAATCGAAAAATTTATTTTCTTGCGAAAACCAAAAAATCATCTATTCCGCCAAAACCAAAAAATTATTTTCTCGTCAAACCAAGAATCACACTTTCCTACCAAAATTGATACACTACAATTTCCCGCGAAAACCAAAAATTGCATTATCTCTCGAAAAATTGTTTTTCCGCAAAAACTAAGAAATGGTAGTTTCCCGCAAAAACAAAAAAAATCACATTTTTTGTCAAAAACTGAAAATTTGCATTCCCATCAAAACCGAGAAATTGTTTATTTCTACCAAAACCGATAAATTTTGTTTTCTCATCAAATTGAGAAATTGCATTTTCCGCTAAAATCTTGAAATTACAATTTTCCGTAAAAACTAAGAAATAATATTTTTCCGCGAAAACCAAAAAATCACATTATTTGTCAAAAGCCGAAAATTTACATTAAAAAATGCATCCTCATGCAAAACCCAAAAAATTGTATTTTCCGTCAAAAGCAAAAAAAATTCATTTTCCCGCAAAAACCGAAAAATTATCTATTCCCGCCAAAAAAATCATTTTCTCGTCAAACCAAGAATCACATTTTCTTACCAAAACTAATACACTACAATTTCCCGCGAAAACCAAAAAATCGCATTATTCGTCAAAAACTGAAAATTTGCATTTCCCATCAAAACCGGGAAATTACTTATTTCCGCCAAAACCGAGAAATTTTGTTTTCCCATCAAATCGAAAAATTGCATTTTTCGCCAAAATCGTCAAATTACAATTTGCTGCGAAAACTAAGAAATCACATTTTTCCCACTAAAATCAAAAAAATCTCATTATCTGTCCGAAAATTTGCATTTCCTATCAATACCGAGAAATCGTATTTTCTCGTCAGAATTGAAAAGTTGCATTTTTCATCAAAACATATATTCTGTTTTCTAGTAAAAAAATTGTTTTCTCACCAAAATCAAAAGTTCACATTTTCCCACTAAACCCGAGAATTCACGTTTTTAGACATAACCAAGAATTTGTTTTTCCTATCAAAACTGAAAATCATATTTTCCTACCGAAATAAAAAAATCTCATATTCCCGCCAAAACTGAATTCCCGCCAAAGCCAAAAAAATTGTTTTCTCATCGAACCGAGAAATCTTGTTAACTGAAAAATGCAGTTTTCCGCCAAAATTGTGAAATTGTATTTTCCTGCAAATTCCCTATCTTTCTCCTCTTCTCTCTCCTTTTCCCTCTTCTCCTCATTGAAATTAAGTTGGCGAATAAAATCGAAATTGGGTTGGGCTATTTAATGTGTTTTGAAAACAGCATTAGTATGTGGGCTATGTAAGGCTATCTAATTTGTAGATCTTGAATGATTTTTTTTAATGAGTTATATTAATGAAATATTTTCATTGGTGAATTAATTTGCTGAAATGTCATTCTAAAAGAGCTCCAAAATACTGATGTGTTTTCATCTGGAGAGATTTATGTGTTTTTATTGTATTAATTTATTTAGGTTTACAGCAAACCAAAATATTTCATTAAGCTGGCCAAAAATTGCTAGTAGTCAATGAGAAAACCAATCGGAACCGAAGAACTTACATAGGATGATAGGAAGCTATTATACCTCGTGTACGTGACTCTTTCACAACGAATCCGCATGCATATCAGTACAACGTGCATGAAATGAATAGAAAAAAGGGAAAAAAGATTTGAGAATCCTTAAGTCATCAAGCTTCGAAACAGGGATAGACCACCCCTCAGGGTTCTTAAAACATCGAGATCAGACCAAGCAAATCCACAGCAAAGCGAATACAAGTCATTGAGATCGAAATCAAAGCTTTTTATTCTTTTTGTTTAAATTAAATGGTTTTTAGCAGTATACTTTCGATCTGGTTTGATTCGATTGTTTGATGGTCTTAGTCAGTTCTAGTGATATTGGTCGAAAAAAATCTAAGTTGATATTATAAAAAAGAGTAAGCGAACCAAACAAACCTTCTCAAGTGGAGAAGACGAAGATAAGATTGCCGGTTGCATGTTCCCCTAAACCAAATCTCAATGTTTTGTCTTCTTTCAACATTTCTCCTCCTTTCATGCCCACCTTTCTCCCTTTTCTACTCTTTCTACTTCTTTCTTTAGATTGTGTTGAAGCATGTTAAACAATATATGTTGTTAAGTTAAATCATTTCCTTTTAAGGGTTAAAAACAAATAAAATAATATTAATCAACAGCTGTGTTTACCGCGTTTCTTACATATAAAATATTTATGTCCAAAGTAAAGATTTCGTGGAAGTATAGTTCCTTGGAGATTTCAAAGCGAGCCATGCAAATCCCAATGTCAATGAACCAAAAAAAAAAATCAAGACCATGTTCATCTCCTCTTAATTCACTTCCTTTTTATTTACTACACCTCTTTCTTCTTTTTCTTTACTATAAATACTCTTCAAATCCCTTTATTCCTTCATTGCAACTCTTCATTTTGCACTCTCTTCCATCACCCACAAAAGGTTTTTTTTTTCTCTTTTTCTTTGGACACCCAAAGTGATCTCAACCTTAAACCAAAAACAAAGTCTAAATCTTTGATCACTAATATAATGGCAGAATTCAAGAGAAAGTTCAACAAAGGTCATGCCTTCACAAGCAAATGTGTTTCCTTGGTCAAGGAACAACGAGCTCGTCTCTACATTCTCCGCCGTTGCGCCACCATGCTTTGCTGCTGGTATATCCATGGCGATGAATAAAGAGAGCCCTTTGAGTTCTTCCTCCAAGTTAACCTCTACATATAACTATATATATGTATATATATGATATCCCTCTCCTCCCCATGTTTCTTCTTCTTGAAGCTCCATTGATGTTGAAGCTCTCCGTTTCGTGTTGATGGCTGCATGGCTTGATCCCTCTTCATTTTGACTCTCTCGCTTCGATTGGTGCAAAACCCTGCAAAATCTTGTCTTCTTTTTTAACCTAAAGAATCAGTCTTTTGGTTTTTTTTTGTTTTCATGGGTTTAATTTGCATCAAACGAAAGAGAGAGTTTATCCGCTGATCGTGCTGGCGGAAGTTTTTACTGTTTTTTGAACAGACAGAGAGATGCCATGGACGATTTTATGCAAGAAAAGGAGTTTCACAGTTTGAAATCTTTGGGAAGATTTGGGTTTAGTTTCGTTTTGGCCAAAGTAGTCTCTTTGGTTTCATCTATGATCTAAGATCGCCTTCTTGTTTGATGTTTGCCTCTGGTTGTACCTGTACCCAATGCAAAGATAATAACAATATAATAAGGAGAATAAAACTTTAGTTTTGGAAATTTAACTTCTTTTATTGGCTCATCAAGCTCAAAAAACAAAACAAACCGTATACTCAGCTTATTTCATTTTACAAACTAACTGAGTTCCGGATTTTATTTCAAGAACCAAGTTCTGATTCAAAAACAGAGCACACTCTTCAAAGAGGGGACATCTGAAGGTCATAATCCGGTCCAAGCCTAACCGAGTTAACGTAATCAGTCGGGCAATGATCCGACAGACCTGGAATCAACAGCCCCATGAGCCTAAACAAGATCCTAAACCATCCTTCTTTGTAATCTGGTCCATGAATGTATCCCATTGTCAAGCCTCTAACCAACTCCCAAACCGCGTTTACATGACCAAGAATCTCATAACGCAGACCGTAAGGGTTCGGATCCGGCTCATCCTCTACTTTCTGTCAAACAATCATTATCAGTCAAAATTAATTTCACATTCCAACTCTGAAATCATCAAGTTTGTTCAAGTGATGATAAACACTACCGTCTCGTTGTAGAAGCTGTCGTAGTAAAGACAGAGTCCGAAATGCTTATAGAGGAAAGTTTTGTCGTCGTAAGGCAATCTCGGGACAAGATCGTTGCAGTATACAACTCGAAAGTACCGGTCCACAGGGTGATTCAGTTGATCTTTCATGAAGTTACCGATCTCTCTGTTTCCGATCCTCGGTTGTCCAAACGTGTAAACTCCAAGGAGCCTCTTCATCATCTCTGTCTCCTCTTTCAACACCAGCAATGTCGGGAACAGTACCGCTAAAGCACCTCCTAAGCTGTGACCTGTGACTACAAACTGGGCGTTTTCGTGTTCCGAAAGCAAACGTTTCAGAGTTTTGTGAACAGCGTAATAGGCGCTTCTCTTTCCCATCTCCGGGAGATTCTTCTCATGGATCGCTTCCTCGGAGGAGTCTTGGTCTAAAAGATGGTAATTGAAAGTGGGAGTGTCGTCTCTGGTACCTAAACCAATGGCTTCGATGAAACCCATGTGAAGCTTTCCCACATTTGGGATTTCGTACCAAGAATAGTCGAAATCGGTTCCCCAATCATCTGCATCAAACGGCTCAGTGCCTCTGAAGCTTATTAGTATCAAGTTTGCATCTTTCTGCTTATCCGTAAGTATAAATACTTGTGTAGACAACTGCTTCTGATATTCTGCGAAGTTACACAAAGAAAAAAGAACACATCCACACAAAGTGTTCATATATCAAGTAAAGACTGTCTAATTAAGCAAATGTTAAAAAGGCTTAAATCTTTCTATCTAATTCTCACCATTCCAACAATCCAAGAACTCCACCAGATTCATCTGCAGACAATAAGAGATGGAAACTTTATAAAGTTGGGAACTTTCTCCTCATGAGTCATGATGAATGTGTTTGAAAGTTTCTATTTTTAATTAGCTTGCCTTCCAATGGAGATTAACGACGTTTTCAACAACCTTGGCGTTCTCATACGCAAGCTTCGACGCCATCACACACAAATCCATAAGCCCACGACTTCCCGGTTCGAGTCTAGCCCTCCCAGAAGAACCGGAATGAACCGAGTCTATGCTCACCAACTGGTCGACGAAATTCCAACCCTTGTACAGATCAATTCGCCCATCAAGATGCCCAATTGTACTTATAAACGCCACAGAGCCTCTCTCTGGTATCACAATTTTCGCTGCAAACACAATCAATACGCATTAAAAATCATCCAAACTCATTAAAAAAAATGCGACTTTTTTGTTTTCGTTTCCGTCAAAGTTTGCAACTTTGATTACCTTGAACCAACCCGAGAAGCAAGCCGAAGAAGCCACCATTCGCAGACCAGAGATTGAGGAAAAAGTCAACGAAGAACCCTGTGTATTCCATAGGCGTTCGGAGAAGTCCGATGATCTTGCGGACCAGAATCGAAACCACGATTACCCAACGGTGATCTTTCGCTTCCTCGTCAATCTCCATCGTGCTCCTGCTCCTGTACTCATCAGGCCATTCCAGGAACTTTTCTTTGCTCGTTTCGTCTCCTCTCACACCGTACCGAAGCAAGTCCCTGTACCCACCTCGGTGAGGCCGAACAATCAAGTAGTTCGACCCGTGACCCGGATTCGAACCCGAACTTGAACCCGATTCGTCGTCTTTGTGCATGTCTTTCCTCTCTGTATCTGTATCAAATGGAGGCAGGATGCTAGTTTATATTCTATAGAGATGATGCAGTATATATTAATATATGCCTGCATGCATATGTCTCTCTGATTATGTGTTTGTAAATAATTTGTTGCAGAGAAGTTGCTTATGTTAAAGGCTTTTCTTTTATAGATAATTTCGTCATTTTCTCATCAGGTACTGGAGATTCTTCGAATGGGGTGACTTGTTACTTTTCTTTTCTTTTGTTTTTAAATTATTTTTTCATTTTTTGTCAAATGGTAAACCTAAATAATTGTGTTATAAACGGGGAAAAAGAACTAGTTTTGGAAAGTTGACGAATTCGTGTCCAACAAAAGTTGTATTAGTTAATGCACTTAAGAGTCATTTTGACCAAAAAACAAAAAAAAATATCATCTACCATTTCATCTTTTGACTATCAAGGAACGTTTTCTTTTGATATGTTCTATGCGTAATAAAATCTCAGTTGTTACTTGTCACGCATTTAAATACTTTCAGACTTAACATATTGTAAATAACATGATTTCCTGGGGCACGTTGTTGTTGGTTTACAATTACAGGTTTTTTTTTTTGGGCAACTAATTACAGGTTAAAAATTTGGAAAATAATAGCTGAAATTGCCATTCACTATATAATGTTTTATCAATGTTTTACATATTATTTTATGATTCATTAAAGCCAATAATTTTAAAATTTGTAAACGAGATCGCTATATATATTACTTTTAACGATGGATTCGTTTGTATTCTTTCTAACAAATTATAGCAAGTCCCGTCATGGATTTATAAATTAAAAGAACAGTTTACTTTAGAAAGTCCCGTCAGAAATCAAAATAACGTTTTCTTTCTTCACGTTTAGTATAAAGAACACTTTCGGATCCTGACATTTTTTTTCTTTTTTTGTCTATTGATCGATTTTCATTAGTCGATGTTAAAATTCGTGTTATGCAAGGACTAAGGACTAATCCAAGAAAATAAAAAATGACAAAATGAAAAATTTGGATAAACGTAGTAGGCACGTGTTGGTGTTCAGAAAGTGGGCCTTCATCACAATGGCCCAAAAAATGCGCATGCCTACGTGTGTAGGTGCTCAGAAAGTGGGCCTCTGACCACAACGGCCCAACAATCAAACACATGTCACGGTCCTCACGGCGTCCACGTGTTCTCCCATTCCCGCTCTCCCTTACCCATAATTTGACAAATGTTTCATTGATTTCTCACACCTTACCACAAATCAATCTTTCTATTAGCTTAGCTTTTCTTACATAAATATGTCGTTGTACATTATGGTTAACCCGGTTTCCAATAATCCACATAACCAATTATTGGAGTACATACCGAATCCCATCATCATGGCAAATCCTTATGATTAGAAATTTGGGATGATTGAGAATCAGTCTTTATATTCTAGTTATTATATGTTTTTATGCTTTAATTTGGCAAGCAAAAATGATCATTGTAATATTAAGCTGCGAGCACTTCATCATTTAAGGACTGGTCGGTTTAAAGCGGTTCACTTCGACTATGGCTGTAGATAGATTCAGAAAGCACGGTTTAATTATATCATCTAGTGCAAAGCTTGTAACTACTGTACTTTGGAACAAACAAAAATTACGTCTCTTGACATGCACGCAACACGTCGGTTCTGTGACAGAACTTCTGTTTCTTCTCAGTTCTCAATCCCTAGTCTTTCGAAAGTAAGTAAACTCTCCAACAAGCAAAGCATTTTTTTCCTTATGAGTTTCTCTTTTCTCGGACGACTAGATAATTAAAAATATGTACCATTTCTGCGTTTCATTTAACTTTTCGATTTTTAATATTCAAAATCACATAGTATGGCAGAATTTAAGTGCAAGGCGGCCTATTTGATCGTAATCTTCACTCAAATATTTAATTTAGCTGAATATGGTACTTTGAATTTGTAAGACAGATGTATATATAATATATGAATTTATAGGTTATCAAAACATATTTCTTCCGTTTCATAAAGAGTGTCGTTTTAGAATTTTATTTTTGTTTCATAAAAAATATTATTTTGTATTTTCAATGCAAAATTTTAATTAAAAATCTAATTTTAACTTTATTATTTTAGTATATTAATTAGAAAGAAAAAATTATTTAATATATTTATAAAAGATTGAAAAGACTTTTTATTAAATTTTTTAATCTGTGTAAAAAATATTACACTTTTTCTAAACAGAAGGAATACTTTTTAATGATTTAATTATTAACGTTTTCTGTTTATTTCTATGATAATTTTTGGTGGACAACTTGTTAACAAGTGGCTTATTTTGATATTCCTAGAGAATGGTGTTAGAATAACTTTCAGTACTTTTACTTATTTAAATTCAAAGATAAATATGTTATTCGGTCCGTGTATATATAACACAAGAAATATATACAATACAGAGTCCTAGACTCCGAAGGAATAAAACGATAAAGGGCATAAAAATACGCATGAATAGTACTAGTGACAAAATCTGTGAACGTTACGAACTTACGAATATCTTATAGGATGTCTATATAAAGCGTCTGTAGTGGGCTGATCGATTTACAAATGGACATGTTACTTTAAGTTTTGTGGGTAGAAGAAAAAATCTTATAAAGTAAACCATACAAGTATACACCATCCATTATAAAATGTTGCAAAAAAAAAATGAAAAGCATACACACTAACAAGTAACAACACACACCGACCATTTTATTAAGCAAGCAAATAGTTCTCCCCCATTCTTTCGAATGGACCTACCAAAATAACGTCATTAAGTCGCCTAGCTTTTTGTACACAATTGAAACGAAACGACGCGTAGTTTGTCGGCAAACAAATAAACGGCAACACATTACGTGTCCCAGTATTAGTATAGTCTTGGGATCGTACGACGTCGTCTGGTAGTTAACGGCTTCATTGTTTCTTCGGGAAGTTTTTTTGCTTACGAGCTCATCAATGTAACTTGTTTGGTCAGTTGTGTATTAATTCGAACTTCTTCTTTTTTTGTTTCTTTAATTTCTAAGAACTTTATTAATTTATCGAACTATATAGTAATAGTCCGTGTCAAGTGTCAAAAGAAATTAAAATAGGGTAATATACCTAATACCACCTACTCCACAATACAATTCTACAAAATTTATAGCTTATATAATGAACTCAAATTCGTCACAATGAGACAAACAAAGACGAATAAATGATAATAAATATTAGCTTGATGAGATTTTTTTTTGTCACCCGAGAAAGATTTTTAGATAAACGTCATGTTTCATCGAAGCTAACTTGTTTGTGTTTCGTTTGTATCTAAATTTTTCTTAATATCTCTTTTTAAATATTAGTTGCTCATTTTCTTTCTTTCAAAATAAATATAAATACGCTGGAGAGATACGTCAAATCTTTCATTATATAATTCTAAAACTGTGCCCGTGTCACTCCTTCTTGCTGGCACACGCTTGGCTTCAAGCCTCGTCTGATCTTATTCATCCACCTAAAATTATAACACTAGACAGTTTAACAATTTTGCTTGGCTTACGTGCATAAGAGTTTTAGCTATCTAAATCTAATCAACCATTTATGATATTAGAAACTGTAGAAAAAATAGATAGATGTCGCCAATATATAGATTTCTACTATTTTAAGAAAATTTGTATGAAAATACTATTATTCCAAAATGCTAAATTATAAACCCCGTGTCAAATATTTATTTGTACCTCGTCGGTGCATTTTAAAACTAATATCCCAAACACGTATTTTTTTTTGGCCGGTCAAATATTAAGTGCAAGAGCGATTTATTAATTAAATTGATAAAAATCAAGAAAGCGAACGTACACGAAGAAAATTTCAACGAAGACATTTAACTAAGTGAATGAGAGGCAAACCACGTACAATGACCGATTAACACGTTTTCACAAAAACTGATTGTTTCGTTTTAATTGCGATAATCTAAATTAGTTGATTGATTATCGATGATGTAGCTTTTAGTTTGACAATAATTTCAAAGTTAATGAAATGATTGACATATTTAAAAATTGCTGAATGGCGTTTTAGGATGTTTCATTTAACTACTTATGTTTAATCTTAGACAGTAATTTTTTTTTTTGCCAAGTTTTATTTTCTCTTACATATAATCAAATTATCTGAACTAAACTCCGTCTCTCTAATAGAAAAGGTCATATCTGCTGCAAGAATCTCGTGAGTTTATTAAAGATGACTTTGTTAATACATTGTATACCCATAATTACGACATTAACGCGTGTTTTTAACTCATATTCACCCACATGTGTTGTTCTTTACAAACAAAAAATTACCCTTTTTGCAAAACAAACAAACTCATTACTTTAGTAAAAAAATTAACTTTTTACTCTATTTCCTTTTAAAACCCCACTTAGATGTGAAGGGAAAGTAATTAATTCTTCAAAGCAATGATGGAAAGACCCAATCATAACCAATCTTCAAAGTTATCTATGCTTCGTTCATTTTTTTTTTAAAATATAAAAAACAAACTGAGTATATGAAATTTTTTATTCACAGGAAAAATGTTATAAGCTAAAACATAAATGAAAATACGGAAAAGAAAGAAGAATATACAACCTTTAAAAGCGCGTAGGCCTTATGAAAACTACAGGTAGTTATTATTTTATTTGTATTGATTTATATTTTTATTTGGTTTGTGGAAATGAGAGAATGCATAAAAACAAAAAAAAAGACAATGCGTCAGACCATAACCATGATACACCAACCAAGATCAATTGTTTTAATAAATCTTATGGACAAACTTAATTGGAAAATTATCATATACTGTATTTAAAGTATAAGTAACACTAATTAATAGTTATTAAATGAAAATTAGGAGTAAAAAAAATGAAAAAGTATATCGAAGAAACAAAAAATGCTAAGCTAAGCGCCGAAGCCTATTTCTCTATGGCTCTTGGATTCTTACTTATATAGCAAATCGTGCTTGCCAGCTTTACTCGATAAATTCGTCTTATGGCTGAAACAGTATAAAATCTAAGCTTACCAAAATTTATCCTCCAAATATATTAATAAAATAAATCTCCAGAACACAAAAGCCTGAACTTTTTACAAATTGAGTTTTTTGGGTTTTTGCCATTTGGGTTTTCTTCTGTCTCATCTGGTTTTACACAGAGATAGAGAGAGAGAGAAGAGAGAGAGAGAGAGAGAGAGAGAGGAAGAGAGAGAGAGAGAGAGATGACTGAGAATCAGGTGGTGATA